GATATAGATAGATAGATAGATAGATATATATATATAGATATAGATATGTAAAGTGTGTGTTATGAATAAAACATGTTGCTCTCTGCTAGCAATGATTATGATTATTTAATTGTCACGAAAATGTTGCTTACCTGTAAGTGATATTTGCATACGTCAATCCACAGACGTGCGCATCCAAGTTTTTTATCTTTACCGTCCGAGAATGAAAAAGTTAACCAGTACTCGTTCTAAATAGTTTTTGTTTTCTTTTTTTTGAAATTAATGGTCATCTTGGATTTATTAGTTGCAAAAGAAAAAACTAAATTTACTTTGAGTGTAAAACAATTGTAGGAATTGTTGAAGTGAAAAATAATTGAATTCTTCTATGTCAATATGCATTTTGCGCCATTGGATTTTTGGCATTTGCCAACTGCAAAATATTTCTAATATGTTTTAGATAATTCAAACTGGTACCGATTGCAATGGCCCGAAGAAACTTTTGGGTAAATCTTCAGTTGTGAACACTTTGCTGAATGTCATTGTCCAATGTCCTTTTGGTGGAGGACACAACTTATTTTGTCGGATAAATTCGTGTGCCTTTCGATCGGTCACATATTTATCCGCTGCTTTCACTGTTTCATGACATTTGTCCAACATATCACAATAACGACTGCAATCACAATTTTATTTATTATTTTTACACAGTTTAAAAATTCATCTATTTCCAAAAATCAATTTCCATTTTTTAAATTTTCCCCTATTATATCAGTTTAATCGAATTATAAAAACCGGATCAGTAAACATACCAAGAACCAACTCCATCACAACCATCAATAATATTCCAACCTTGGCATGGAATTACCTGCCATCCTTTTGATCCTTGTTTATTCGTTACTGCATGCCTTACCTCAATAGTTTTTTACAAAAGTACATTTACTGATATCTCTTTGTTAACATTTAGAGAAATTTTCAGGATATCTGATTGCAGTGAATAATCAATCAACGACCACGAATCACTCGAAATAGTATGTAAAATTTTGCGGTTTCAAACAATAACCGAACATTTGCACCAAAGACAAATAACAAGCGATACCTCGACATCCATCTCGATCTTATCCTGAGGTAATTCCTCACTTACATCCATTGTAACATTAAAAAATATTGGCCCAGGAAAACGTGGGTAATCTGGCCATACAACAATATTTGAAACATTCACCACATAATTTGTCCACTGCAAATTTAACATCATCAAAATCTCCCGCTATGGAATTCCTTTTCAATAACAAACAACATTTCATCTCAAGCAAGTTTTAAGGCAATGAGAGATATCAATAAGAATTATTCCATCAAAAAGTTAACCACAACAAGTTTTTTTGCTAACTCAACCAAAACAATCCATTGGTCAGCTTTTATATCTAACCAAAATTTCTCAAATTATTTCAATTTCATGAAAACTCATATTCAATTTTGAAAAGTAAACTAGCATATCAGAACTTGTCTAAACATTTTGCGTAGTTTAGGGAAAGTTCCATTTCTTGATAAAAGAACTAACTACATATCTAGCACTTGAGTTATTTCTATTTTTGCGGAGAAGAAACATACGAGATCAAACTTGTCATACTAATACTAACTATTCGACCTGTATTTAGTTAGAGTGGTATTAGCGTGATAAGTTGACAAATATGTCAATAAAATATCTCACCTGTTCGCTTGCACATCGACTGAACTGCCAACCACGAATGACAACACCATGTGGCCCCGTAGTATACTTCTCCCAAAATGGTACATGACCAGGAAAAGTTTCTTCCCAAGCACGTGATAATGCTGATTGGGCTAATGTTTTTTTAACATACAGCATTGCTAATATGAAATGCGTGAGGAAATACCTCAACATCTGCAAAATTTGCCATAGAAATTTTCACGATTATTTATTATCGTTGAAAGATGAATAAATAGTAACGTTGGAATCTGAACTAAAATCTGGATCGGTCCGGTAATAGTGTTAACATTAAGATTAACGATTAATTAATATAACACTGACTGCCTTGAAATCATGTTTTTGATCTAAAATCCTAAATCACAATATAGTATAAATTATTGTTTTGATATGTTACTGATAATGATAACATGCATAGGACAGCTTCTTTGAGAAAGTAACAGTATAAATAGCAATGTGATCAATCGATTCACTGATAGCTTTTTCCTACTCTTTCCACTTTTTTTTCAATTTCTTCTCTTAATTGAAAAAAATTATCACTTGGGTTTTGGGTGAAACTGATAAACAATAAGATTTCGAGACTTTCTCCAGTTTTAATGTCAAAATTACCTAGTAAGTATTAATAACATGAAGCTGAATAAGAATAATAGCAAAAGTTGAGTAAGGATGAAATTTGAATAAGAATGATAATAAAAGTTGAATGGTAATGGTAAGTGAATTCTTGATAGCAAAAATTGAAAAATAATGATAATTGAATAACAACGATAAAAAAAAAAGGAAACATTTAAGCAAATGTATTACAAGTGAAAGAAGTATGAGAAGTGACTGAGATATTTAAACAAAACGGATGTAAATTAACTGTCCAATGATTTCATGCTATCGCTGTAGATAAAAATAAAAAAAGAACGAAAAGCAAAATGCCTTTAATCTGCATATTGCTAATTTGTCACCATAAAAACTGAGAAGAAAATAGATCTTAGATCTAAAATCTTGGAGGAGGGAAAAATTTCAGGATGCACTAAAGTTTTGCTATTAAATTGGACCAGCAAAAAGAAGGAGGAACGATATTTTAATTCAACATTATGAGAAAAAAAACTTCGTATATCTCATATGTTGCACTGAATGATCAGTAATAAATTTCTTTCATATCTCATTTATATTTCATTTGCTTTTATTCATTACATTTTAAGATTTGCTTTCAGAAAATATCTTGTTTTTCAATATATAATAGATTAAGTCTGACATTTGTAAAGTTAAAAAGTTTTATGAAACTGAAAAGTTTTGATAGGAAACAATTTTAAGAGTATAAACAATAACAGCAATAACATGAAAAAAGCAAGCACTAGATGAGAAATTAAAAATGTTCACTCTTATCTTGCTCTATCATCCTATCACTAGGTGATATCAATTGTTAGCTCAATCAGTAACTACACTCTATTCAATTTTAAAATCAATTAACAGCAATCACAATATCATCAATTGAATTAAAAGGAAATTAATTAAATGATTGAAATATTATCATTCAGAAATCATTTGCAAATATTGTTGAAAAATCAACAGCTGTAATAAAGATTAAGAGGCAATGCGAAATGTTTGTGGCATAATCAACGGATATCATTCATCAATCATCATTCATCCATCATTCATCATCATCATCATCACCATCATTCATCATCGTCATCACCATCATCATCCGTCATCATCATTATCATCATCATCCGTTATCATCATCATCATCATCCACCATCATCCGTCATCACCATCATCATCAAACGTCATCATTATAAACATCATCATCAATATCACCACCAGCACCATTTACTATCACCATCATTCAACATTATCATCATTTTATCGTCATTATTACCATTTCAACAGGTATAACGAAATTCCATTTTTAGAATTATCTCAGTACCAGCAATTCTATGTCTTTTTTCACAGGAAAATGAAGGCTTTCTACATTGGTATGTTGAAATCTTTTGAACATGAAACAGCAAAGTAACCTCATAAATTTTGCTGATTTTATTTCATTCCATTCGTCATGAAACACTTTTTTAATCCATTCATTCAATCAGCAAAACACACTAACTTAGACAATAAAACTGAACAAACTTTTTGTTCCAAATTTTCGAAGACGTCCTTTCATTACTAAGATAGCAGAAGAGCATCCAGAAATGCTCTTTCACTTACTACTTATGGAAATTATCGATAATAAATTTAAAATTTAGCAGTATTGCTTTCGGGCTGGATTTATCGAATAAATAAATAGAGAATTCTTGGTTTTTTTTGAACACTATGTGGGCATCTTGAGCAAGAAGAGTTAGGGTATTCATTAAGTAATTAGTTCAATTGATCGATCAACACATCCATCTTTTTGTCCACATGAAAAATGGGTAATAAGTCAGGTTGCTACCCAATTTTTCTATCTCAGATCCATCAAAATGACTATTTAGTTAACAACTTTAATAATCGCGAGCCTTGCGACTACTTATGACCATTAGACATTCAGCTTTCTTGTTTTATTGCATATTCTTAATACTGATTGTGCATCATCTGGATTTTATCACGTAATGTAATTTCCACCAGTATTCAAGATGCAGTGACCTTATCCTTGCTGTTATCGATGTGGAAGCTAAGAGTTGATTTTATGGTTTAATTTCATCTCTCAACAATATATGGCTTGCTTTGCAATATTCATTTCAACTTGTTGGCTTTCTTTTGGTTTTAGGAATAGTATTGCTGAGGGAGTAATATTGCTAGGAGTAATAGAGTTTTAGGAATAATATTGTTGAGATTTTCCATGGCTTTTTAGAACCAGTCCTTTTTTGCTACTTTAAGTAACTCATTTAATATATTCGTATCTTAGAGGCTTAGTACTACAAACAAAATACATTTGTAAGCATTCAAAATTGATCTTCACTGATTATTAATGTTTTTGATGCAACGTGAACCTAAAAGGATTGAATGATGAGAAAATTTCATTCTAGAAAAACGACATCCTATAATTCTTGAACGAAGACAAACTATTTTACGGATATAGCACTATACTACTTAATGAATATTTGATTCTTTATAATTACTTTCAGAAGTGGATGTTTCTGAATCTTGGAATTTGATTAACTAGCAATATTCAAACCAATTTTAGGCTTGGAAGAGGTGGAGCTATTATTTTCAGTTGCAAGCCAAAGGGAAACCAATTAATTTAATATATTAAAGAAAAAAAAAAACAACGTAATACTTTAGCTTTTGTTCAGGAAAAACAACGAAATCAACTTACGTTTCTAACTGCCTAATTTCCTGTCAAAGAAAGGGAGATGAGAAAACAGTGATTTTTTTCTTTGAAAAATTGCTAAATTTATTTCCAAGAGAAGGTTTTCTAAAAATAAACTAATTTCCTAGCAGGAAAAAAAGAAAAAAAATGTTAGCAAACTACTGGAAAAGTATGTAACCAGCTATAGAGACGACAAAATTTCGCTAATGTCGTTTAATTTGAAATCATAACACTTTCAAAATTTAAACATTTTTTCAACTTCCGGTTAAATTATTAACAAAATTCCACGTTTCGCTCTTTTAACCCAGCGAAATTTCGCATTTTCCTTCATCTCTCCGAAAGTTATAAGCACCTGTTACGCTTTTCATGCACATCTGTTAATGCGAAAAATTATTCATTTTCTTCAATTAAATTAAAAACCATGAAGCTATCCATTAGACTTATGTAAATGACATAATGATGCTTTTTAAACGGCCGTTATTACGCACCTCAAAGGGCAATTAGCTCAATTTCTCAAAATTCAAATGATATTATCCCAAAAAGGTTTTGCACAAATATATAAATTGAAAGTTATGACTGCTTACAACTGAATTAAAAACAGTTCGAAAGATGTAATATCGAAGTATAAAACAGTAGCAGTAGCAGTAAAATGCCATCCTTCAATGGAAAGCTGTTTTTCATGCAAAAATTTTGCAAATAACAACCAAAAATTTCCATATCATTATGTGTGAGAAACAAACAGCTAAATAGATAAAGTTAGCAGCTAATATCTGAATTTAAATCCAAAAATTGTTTTTTGAAAAAAAAGTTCCCAGCATTGGATTTCTACTTGTAAAATGGCCAGAAAAGCAAATAAAGTTTGAGCATTGCAAGCCAGTTAAAAATTTAGTGACGTCCGGAATTTGAATTTTTTAAAATTTCTTAAGAAAATACTGCCGCTAAAAGAATGGAAAACCAAACGTCAAAAAAAAAGTTGAAAGAGAAAGAAAAGTAAATAAACTGGGAGGAATCGAAATGATTACAAATTGAATGAATGAATTATATACAGAATGTAAACACTCAACCCAAGCAGCTAGAAATGTATGCGCTGCATTTCCCAGCCCGTTAACCACTAACGAAATTGAACAAAAATTTCACAAAAATGTAAACTTTGGCTTTCTGCTAGCACAAGCAAACATTTCATTAAAAATTTAGACCCAACCCTCCTCCCCCCCCCTTCCTCATCACACTATCCCCGCTAAGCAACACTTTCGCTCTTGTCTGCCACCTACAACCAATGCCGCTCACTTGATTAGATTACAGGAATGGAAAATAAAGCCTTGCATGTATTTGAAACTTTCTAGTTAGTGAGAAACAAAATCCCAGCAATAAGCATTCAAACAATACAAAATATCATACTTGAAACCAGCATATATTTCATCGACACCAGCATATATTTCATTTCATTAAAGTTATAAACTTTTCAAGCCTTCCGGATCAATTGAACCATTATAAACCTTTAAAATAATTTTTCAATCCAAAACTTTGCTATCCGTTCTTAAATTTTTTTAAAATTCACCATTCATATGTTTTCATATAACAATCCTAATATGGAAAATTAGCGAAAAAATATATATATGATAGTGAAAACCAAAACATTCCACTACAGCTTTGTTCTTAAACATTTTAATTTACTTGGAATCCTCTCGGTAAATACTTCAGAAAACTTGAGAAATGGAACAAGATTTGAAAGTTGATTAAAAATACCGGACTTTCTTATACCGTGTTTGAAAAAAAGAAAAAACAATAGGATAAAAGATTCTTTTACAGAAATGAAATTGTTATGTGACGGATAAAACTGGACGGGGAAGAAAAGGGACAAGATGGATGAATGTTTGATTCGAAATGAAAGTAACAAATAATTTTAAGCTATTGAATATATCAGTTATAACAAATTCATTTTTTCAATTGCCATCACAGCTTATAAGTGTTAACTATAAAAAATTAGTAGAATTTGATGTCCTTACTGAGTAATAGCTTTGGTGAGGTCCCGCCCTTGAACCTTATTCTATCTCTGTTTATGAAATTGAAGCCGTAAATCTTCAGCCCCATAAATCATAATTAAATTTTCATGATATCAAACAATCATTGTGATATTACCATTATATGCTAAAATTTTCTCAATCTTTTGGTAATAAAGACGATGAACATAAAATCCCTTTTTCAAGTGACTTTATTTACAATAAACAAATGATTGATTAATGCCCAAATGATCTAAATAGCTCAATTTTTTAGTTCAAACTACCAGGAAAGGAAGCTTCGGGGGCTTTTATCAATTCACTGTAGAGGAGGAATGAAAAGGTGTTTAACGGTATGATAAAGTGGAATTGGAAAGATAGATTCTGGAAATTTTAACCTTTAATTTATAATACTTCAAGGAAGAATGACCAAAAATAGATATGGAGAGGATTTAGCGCATATCTAAGGAGTTATGTTAGAGAAGTGAATCTTATCAGAATTCAGTTTCGGCTCTCTCGCTTTTTAGTTTATAAAGTCATTTAACATAACAACGCCAGTACTATCACTAAAGATGATTTTATCAACTTCTGCAATAAAAAATTGTTAAACTTTTAGACTGAGATAAACTTAATCCATGAATTGGCATCATTTCTCCCTCACATACAGCTCTCAAGTTCGGTTTAAACAAAATCTGATCATAGAGTATGATGCAATGCAATCTAAGAGATTTTCAATTGAATTTATTTCTTCTACTACCACTGAAATTGTGAACACTATCAACAATAAACACTTGACGTTTTTAATGCAATTGATTTTGTCCGAATAGAAATTTTTGTGAGTAATATGCTAATGGCGTGTAATTCTGGGATTTCCCACGTTGTAATATATACCTTCTAGAAGGAACAAACAAATCGAGAATAAGTGATATCAAGTTCTGATCACCAAGTTCAGGAGAAACTATAAGACGGTATTTCTAGAATATCGGACGACCACTGATATTACTAATCAGTGCAAAATAAGAAGGTCTATTTTCGCTACGATTGCATCTCAGTAACATTAAAGGTGTTTCATCAACATTCTAGCAATTCTGTTGATTCTAGCTAAAACTTCTGTAAAAGAAGAGTTTGGCAATATGCAAGTTTGTACTTCATAAAATCAAAGCCTTCTTTATCTACAGTACCAGTGATAGCAATAACAGCATATTGAGGTCTTATTGGACAAGAAAATATTTCGAATTCAACAGCCATTCGACACACAACCCATTTAACATCTAAAAAAACATGTTTTTTCACAGACAGCTTCCCGTAGGATGCCATCCCGCTTTTCTTTCCTCCTACTTTGCTACTCTTGGATCCTCTCTTTTCCCCTTATTCATCCTATGGCGGCACTGACCATCAAATGTATACGAATAGAGAAATTCGGATGGGTTACTACCACACCTCTATCTATGTAGTTGTTTGCTGCATGCATGAATTCACAGAAAAAGTATACTAATAAAAACATCAGCTAGAAAAAAGAAAGCAATGAATAAATTTCATTTTACAATTTCGCTTTTTACCGTTATTTCGTATATTGTCGTCTGTTGTATACACTAAGGATTTAAACATGAAGTATTTTGGAGTTTACTAAATCGTAAGCGAAAATTGAATAGAACGGAAAAAGAAAGAGAATGAATACAATATCATGCTTCCAAGAATATTTGTGCAATAATTTTGCGATCGCATTCAGCACAA